CGACAATTTGACATCTCCAATGCAAATGGACGCCCTAATCTGACCGATAATGCCCAACGATCCCCCATTAGCGGCGTAAAATGGCACATCCACCGGAAGTAGCGGACGACATTGTACAGGGAGAATGTTATAAATGAGGTCCGATATAATAGTCGCCGATGCCCCCGTGTCCACTAACACCCTGACCTCGACCCCATCAATAGATCCCGTAACGACGGATGAACCCGCTGAGGCAGCCACTATTCTGTGCCCTAACTCCGACCATTTAATGTCTCCCCGGTCCCGGCCGAACCCCCCTCGCCGAACCGAATCCCCGAACCCTAACCGGCTCTCCTCCGCCGCAACGCGACGGCCCATGCGTGTCGAGTATGCGGGCCGAGCATGTGAGGTGCCGCGACTTGCCGGGGTTTGTAGGGATGACTTGGGGCCTTGTTCGTCGTCCAGCCGAGGTCCCATGGCGCGCTGACGTGGGGCGCGGCAACCGGACGCCACGTGGCCCCGGAGGCCGCAGTTATAACACGTGATGAGAGTCGTCGGAGATCTCGGTTGCTCCAGCTTGCGGGCCGATCGCAGAGGCGAACGACCCCCCGACCTCCAGTCCCCCGGTCGTCCCGCGATGAACGCCTCCTCTCGTGGGCTGACGACTTGGGGTTCGGTGACTACCGGGCCCGGAGCTGAGGCCACGGCAGCGTTGCAGACGACCCCCTGTTTACGTTGAAGGACCTCGTGCGCTTGTATACTTGTAGCGACCCGTAAGGAAGAAATATCGATCTCGTCGGCCGTGTTGATGGGGACCCCCAGGTCCTGCGCCAACTTGAGCAGTTGCTCCAAAACCATCGCATCTTGGCCCTCCTCGTCCATACGAGGGAACGCGGCGTCGGCGAGAGCCAGCAACGCCGTGCGATAGGCGAGCACGGTCTCCGTGGTCCGCCTTCCGCCTTGCATAAAAATGATGGCGACACGCCTAGGGAGGACCGTAGACCTTGGCCATGAGAGCCAGCGCATCCTTGAGCGTGGAGCGGTCCGACCTGCGTGTGGACGTGAAGGCCGCGAGCGCGTTGTCGTCCAGCATGGCAGGCAGTGCCCGCAGTGCCGTAGCGTCGGACCAGGCGGACATCTCCTGATGCGCCAAAAACCTGCGCTGAAATTGGCCCCAGTCCCCGCCTTCCGCCTTGAAGGCTGACAATATGGGAAGGCGCTGTTGAAAGATGAAGTCGTCCTCCGCCTCGTGGTTCCTCTCCGCCGCCCCGTCGGTGTGTAAGATGGCGGCCCCAGTGGCGGGTGTCTGATGGCGGTCCGCAGAGCGCGTTGGTGACGTAAGCGGGCGCGCTTGGAGAACCGCTGCCACGTGGTGGTGTCCGTTCCCGCCAAAAGTCGGCGCAGATGAAATGGCGGGAATCGCCAAGTCATTTTGGCGGGAATCTGCGGGGCGACCCTGTAGAACGTCCGCCGCCGTCCCCGCTCCTCCCGACGAGCTGATCTCCGCCAGGATGGACGCGGCGGCGAGCAGCAGCTCCGCCAGACGGGAGTGCGCCTCGCGGAGCACGGCATCGGTCCCCCGTCGCTCGTCCGGTGCCGTCGGCGGATCCTGCAGCGTGGGCAATTCTTCGTCCTCATCCCCCGATGCCAGCTGGCCCGAGTCGTCAAGGTTGTCCCCGCGGTCAATCCCGTGGGTCCGACGGGTCTTCCTTGTATCCATGCTTGGAAGACCGTTTCACTTCTGACGCCAGTTGAAGTATTGGAAATGACGGCAGGAACTTCTTGACGGGTAACACACTTTTATTAAATCTTGTCGTGTCACAATACAACGTGTGGTCTCTATTCTTTTGACTATACACTCCACATAACTCGTGTAGACTCTATGCCTCTGGCTACACACAATGCACTTGACTCGTGTAGACCCTATGCCTCTGGCTACACACAATGCACTTGACTCGTGTAGACCCTATGCCTTTGGCTACACACCATGCATTCAACTCGTGTAGACCCTATGCCTATGGCTACACACCATGCATTCGCCTCTGGGTTACACAGAGTCCCGGTCCCGTTAGGACAGCGGGACTAGGTACCGCAGGGCCCTATCTCTTCGATCCCCGTCTTCATTCTTCGCTGGTTACATACTGCCTTTACGCCTGTGTGCATCCCCTTTTATAGCCCCTGCTCACGGGAGACGGAGCTGATGCGGACGTCGACGTGAGCATCGCTCCTTAGTTAACCAATGACGACGCGCTATCTCTACGATCCGTTTTCCCCAGCGCGTGTTAACACTACTCAACCAATCACACCGCGCTGCCACCCGATCACTCCCTCTCAGCGCGTCACCGGCACACAGCCAATCAGCACCACGTAACCCACGACCCCGCGCTGACCCCTGATCCTCCACCCTCAGCGCGCGTCACCACATACACAGCCAATCACTACGCGCTGGCACACGATCCCTACCCCAGCGCGTATCACCACTACACATACGCCAAGACTCTCTCTACACCATGGGGCCTCCACCCGTTACTTCGCACAATAAATACCGACTTAAAGCTTTCGTGACTGCAGGAATTCAAATTCTTTGGGCCTTTCGGTAAAGTCATGTAGATAGGTTCAAAGAAAATATCCAAAAATAACAAAAAACTTCTTTGTTATTTTTAACACCATGGCACATGCGGAATGGTCGTGGTAACTTATTGTGCGAATATTATTTGGGTCTTTCGGTAAAGTCACATAGATAGGTTCAAAGAAAATAACAAAAATTACAAAAAAATACTTTACGTGACTTTACCAAAGAATATGCGCAAAAGTTATCACGACCGTTCCACATGTGCCATCGTGTTAAGAGATACGGAATATTAAACAAGCATCAGTCACGCACACGGCCATTCATATTTGAAACCGGGACAAAATCTCAATTTCTGCAAAAGGCTTTGGCACACCCAGAAATAATTAAACCGAGTTTGTTTCTGCCAACAAACAAGGAAGTTCTTAGGTGCAAGTGTAATTGATTCAGAGAATTAGAATCTGAAAATGCTAATTTAATAATACAAATTGTACGACCAATACATATGAATGAAAAAAAACTATCGAAAAAATATCGTTCGTTAATAAACACTGTCCCTAAAGGAAGGTATAGAAAAAATTTCAGCCTAATGCCTTTCTACATAGCACATGAAGCAAGATAGACTAAGATAGGTAAATTACGGAATTATGGCCAATACTGCGTTATGAAGACGTAACAAACAGAGCAGTACAGGATAAAACAAACTGTTTGTATATAAGTGTATATGAGATATTACTTCTTGACCCACACCGACTGGATACCTGTGAAAAGAGTTTGATAGATTTTTGAAATTTGACAGCTATCCAGGGCACAAATGAGAAGATGGAAGGGAAATGGGGTTTGCAAACCCAACATAGTCTACTTTTGTTTGATGATATCCCTCCCCCAGCAGGGAGGTGCACCATTCCCGGAGAAACTGCAATACCGGGTTGATGCGCGGAGTGGACGGAGCAAGCCCCTATTCCATCTCCCTGTCCCAAAAATCAATTTAATATAAGGTACCACAATGTGGTACGTATCAGATATTAAACTGATAAGAACAGATACTACACTTGATCTTAGCCAAAAGGCCGAGAAGCGATAACACACACTTACCAGTGGTGGAGATTACATACGCCAAGACTCTCTCTACACCATGGGGCCTCCACCCGTTACTTCGCACAATAAATACCGACTTAAAGCTTTCGTGACTGCAGGAATTCATATTCTTTGGGCCTTTCGGTAAAGTCATGTAGATAGGTTCAAAGAAAATAACAAAAAATAACAAAAACTCCTTTGTTATTTTTAACACCAGGGCACATGCGGAATGGTCGTGGTAACTTATTGTGCGAATATTATTTGGGTCTTTCGGTAAAGTCACATAGATAGGTTCAAAGAAAATAACAAAAATTACAGAAAAATACTTTACGTGACTTTACCAAAGAATATGCGCACAAGTTATCACGACCATTCCGCATGTGCCATCGTGTTAAGAGATACGGAATATTAAACAAGCATCAGTCACGCACACGGCCATTCATATTTGAAACCGGGACAAAATCTCAATTTCTGCAAAAGGCACACCCAGAAATAATTAAACCGAGTTTGTGTCTGCCAACAAACGAGCAAGTTCTTAGGTGCAAGTGTAATTGATTCAGAGAATAAGAATCTGAAAATGCTAATATAATAATACAAATTGTACGACCAATACATATGAATGAAAAAAAACTAGCGAAAAAATATCGTTCGTTAATAAACACTGTCCCTAAAGGAAGGTATAGTAAAATTTCAGCCTAAGGCCTTTCTACATAGCACATGAAGCA